GTCAGTGTGGCGCTAGTATCGCATTACCAATCATTTGATAAACATTTCTTATTTCCATCTTAACAAGAAATTTTGTATATGCATATTTTCGATAGAATTTATTTTTTGCGATATAAATAAATATAAATATATATATATTATTATACAATAATTCTAGTTTTGAATATTAATATACAATTTATGTGTTATGCTTTTAGACAAGTATAATTGGAATTTCTCATATTTATTTCATGATACATTGTGATTATACTGATGATACTTATAACATGTAAGTATTATTATTTTATTGAAATTAAGCTTTTAAAATTACATTATTTATTAATTAGTAATATAATATTTTGATATTCTGATGGAATTTTTTTTTCTTTTTGCTTTCCATTAAAAATATTTTTTTTAATAATGACTTTTCTTGTAATGAGTTCATAATGGTTTTATTGATTGAAATGTATTATTATAAATGAAAAAAATTGGATAATTTATTTCGAAACTCATTATGTTCCTCATAACGCAATTTATCAATAAAGAATAATTACGAATAAAACTCGATGCAAAGTATCAAATTAAATTTACAATTGACAAAGTTATTCGATTCTCGAGTTATGAAATAATCACTTCTGAATTATGATACGAGCATAAAATTATTTTATGAAAATACGTAATATTGTGTTGTAGAATATGAAATTATCAAAATTTTTATAATAAGATAAATACATTTATATATATTCTTGATTTAATTAAAATTCTGAAAATGTGTATTTTCAGAATTAATATTCATTTCTAATACAGAGAATACAATTTGAATACAGATTGTACGATATTTATGCAAATTAATATTTCGATAAATGTGACTAAAAAAATCGAACTTGAATGAGAAATTTTGTTTTGAACATTAAATATTATAATATTTCAATTGAATATGTGCATTTTTGAATATTATGTGTATTTTGTACATTTTTACATTTTGATTATGTATCTAAATACATGAATATCTGTAATTTATTAGTATATTTTATTTTTATAAAAATTTATATTTTATATTATATAATATTATGTTATAATTATTCAAGTGAATATTTTACCTTTTAAAGTCAAAGAAAAAGATTTTTTTTTCATTCATCATTCATGAATTCAAAAAGCAAAAGTTTAATTAAAGAACGTGCAGTTAAAAATAAAATCTATAGAAAAATTGTTATACGTGGATATGAAAATGTCAAAATATTATAAAAGATATTTCTTTTTTTGTGAATATACAATAACAATTTTTTTTCCCACGATCAAATTTTTTCCCGATCAAATAATTTTTATCATTCGTTTTTAAAATAAAATCAAATTAATATCGTATTGCATATAATTTAATTTTATAATCAAAAGATTGTTGTTAAAAAATCAATAGGAAAAAATTCTTTTCAATTATGACAATGTCTGAATATACATATCAAAAGCAATAATAATAAAAAATTAATGCAACTATAATATTTATTAAAATCTCATATAGAATTAAGAATTTATCAACTTTTCTTTCTTCAAACATTTTTAAAAATATAAATTTTTGAAAATATAAATAACAAACATTTGAAAATTAGATTTTAATAATATTGTATATTTGTAATGAGGAAATTTTTTATGTAATGGTTTTTGTCATTAAAATTGAAATTTTTGTAAAAAATGAAAAATATATCGATGATATATACCGTATATGTTATTTTTATAATATTTGCTCTTTTGTTATAATTAATTCACAATAGATATATTTTATATTTTTGGTGATATTTGACATCATTTGATTTCAATCGTATAAACAGATGTACATATTCAAAACAAAATTTCTCAAAAATATTTATAAATGAAATAATTTAAAATTTCTTTATTATTTCATTTTTCCACTATATTCCTTCATAATGCACATGATATTAAAAATAAATATATTTAAATTACTTTTTTATATTACTTTTCATATTATTATCGATTTCACATTTTTATTATATTTTTTTTCTTTATATATTTAATATTTTACATTAAATATTTTAGAAAATTTACCGTTATTTTTAAGGAATTTCATTTGGCCCAAAACTTTTCGCCAGGGATACCAATATAATGTAATTTTCGAGTTAGCGCGAAATTTCATCTTCTTCCCTCGAAGAAAACAATAAATACGGTGGTCTCTGCTCGAAAGAGAATTAACAGACCACCTTGAAGTTACGACCGCCTTCTTCGTCTTCGCCTTTACACACTGGCGCCGAACTTTTCAACAAGCACAATGGATGCATTTCAAGAGGATATACCGCGAGAAACATAATACCGAAGGAGGGAAAAAAGGCGGAAAAGAATGATTTGAAAAAGGTCGAGATATTGCACAAGAGGAGATTGTTGGATGTAGGCCTCGAGGAGGTGCATGACTCGACCAAGGGGTCAAAGGTTATTATCATAAATTAGGGTCCAAATAATATATTTATAAACAAAAGTTTCTTTTTTTTTTTCTTTTTGAGAATTTTACATATGCAGAGAAAAATATTAAGAGAAAAATATTCTTGAGAAATACGTTGTTTTGAAATACGTTTGAAAATATTTGAAATAAAAGTCTGATATTTTTTATACGTATTGAAAAATATTTTAATAGTTTGATAATACTTTAACTCTTCAAAAGTGAAAAATAAAAATAATGGATTGATATTTTCAGAATGTCAAAATATTTAAAATATTTAAAAATTAATAATTTTTGAGATATATTTTAAAATATTTTTATTTTAAAAGATTAGTTTTTATATTAACAAGAATATACAGTTAAGAATATATTTAAAATTCTTTTGAGAATGTTTCTTCCAAAATAGGAGATTGAAAATTGAAAATTCTGTTTAGTCAAAAAAATTTTTACTTCCAACGTAATTTTTATTTACGAAAAATAATCACGGAGAATGAAATATAATCGAAAAAAAGAATTTTTTACAAATTCTTTAAAAAAACATATGTGTCTTCAGGATACGAATACATTTAACGATGATGAAAAATTATTTTTAAAATTATTTCTCACTAATTGAGAATAAAAATCACTGCATCGACTTTCAATGTTCATTCTCTTTCCTGTCTAATATGTATTCCTAACATTCTTTTCGAGAAGCGACTCATTTTCCACCGATGTTTCGAAAATCTTGACAAATCCACCGTTTACGCCAAAACGTAAAACGCTTGTGTAAATCTTTATGGCTCCCTATAACTCAATTTTTATTCGTGGCGTGTTTACATTCGGTCGCCGGTTTTTGGGCAACCGAAATACTTCTCCAACGTTACGAGCGGATCGTTTGAAAAATGAGAAGCGTGGCTCTAAGTCACGTGTCACACTCGAGAAGCCTGGGAGACGACAAAGTTACACACGGGTCGAAAATACCCGTTGGATGTTTTACAACATCACGCTTGACGCGCGATTTATACTCTTTTACGTTTTTTTTAAGAGTATCACATTCGGCTCCTTCGTGCATTTAATCGTCCGAGTGGCGAAAGGACGAAATAATGAATTAAATTAATGGGTATTCTCTTGAAAATTAAGACTAACGAAATTTGAGTTTTTAACTTTTGTTTTTTTAAAAATAATAGTTTGCATCAATTTGAGAATACACCGTGCATGAAAAGGATAACGTAGTGATTGAAACATGATTCTTTAATTTTGATTTTTGATTCTCTTTGTCGACAAAATAAAATCAATTCGAGTTTTTTTCGTTCGAGTAGCAAAAGAACAAAATATTGAAAAAATTAAATTGATCCTGTTGAAAATTAAATGAGTAACGAGTAATTGAAATTTGAGAATTTAACATTGATTTTTTGATACTATTCGTGTCGAGGTGCTATTGATAAAATGAAATCAGTTACGTCAATTTGAGAATATATTGTGCATGGAAAGGATAACGAGTAATTGAAATTTAATTCTTTAATTCTGATTTTTAATTCTATTCTATCTAGCATCGAGGAATTATCGACATAATAAAATCAATTGCTTCGATTTGAGAATATTTTGAGCATGTTTTTATTTTATATAAATAGTTGATGTATAATATAATTATATATATTATATAGAAAGTATTGTTAAAACACTAGAGAATATTGTGATTATTAATATATATTGATAATATCGATAACGGATGAAAATAATTAAAAGAGAATAAAGAATTCTGATTTTTTCTTATTCACATTTATTATAGTATATTAAAAATATTATTAATATTACAAACAGAAATGTAAGTATAATATAATTTTTCAATAAAGTTTATAATATTTAACGATATCTTAATGATATATCAAAAATTATATCAATTATATTGATAATTAATAGTATATATAATCATAACTCTAAATACTGCACATTAAATATACAAAAAATTATTAAGTTTAAAAGATATTTTAATTTGAATTTTATATTCTAAAGTTTGCTGCATTAAAAGCAAGAAATATAAGAAAGCAAAGTGATACTGATCTATTCATGTTTTCCTAATAAAACACCTTGTATATAAAATCTCAAATGATTGGAACAATATTTATAAAAATTATGAAACATTTATTTTCAAGATATAAAATATAATTGTAAAACATATATCATTATTTATATAACATTTTTATAACAAATTATGTCAATATATTAGCTTATTTGTTAATGTGTCAAATCAAACTTTCATCAGTTTGATATAAATATTTTTCTGATAGATGAACTGATAGTATAAAAATCGTACAAAAAAACTTTGTTTTTTTTTTAAGTATTTTATAACATCTAATTCATCAAAAAAATTATTCACATTAAATTATGTGTCATGTAAGTTTGATCTGATACATTTTTTTCTAATAACCGATATATTCAAATGGCCTATTTTGTATAACAATCATATTTTGTTCTATGCTTTCAAGTAAATACGTGTTTCCTTCTCTTTCTTCTCATTCATATTTCAGAATCCAATCCGATCCGAATTTATCGATTTTTCTGGCAATATTCCTCGAAAAACAGAAACGGAACAACTTACCAGCAAACGCTAATTGTTTGATAAAAAAATCCATCCGCGTTTTACGCCGTTTGCCCCATTGGAGGCCAATTAGGACCGCGATATTACCCACGACTATC